CGGTCATGGTGGGCGAAGGATGCCTCGGCCGCTCGCGCCCCGCGCCGCCAGCAGGCGAAGTGGAGGCGTCGCCGTCAATGCGACTGTCCAACGTGCCCGAAGCCGTTGCAGCGCCCGACGCCATTGACGCTCCCGCCGAAGCAGTCGTACAGGCAACGATTGACAAGGAGAACATCGCGCCCGGCCCAGTGAGCTCGAGTGGAGTCGCTGGAGCATGCGCGTCGTCGCACCCGAAGAGTCCTCTGCCGCCTCGAACGTCGTCGCTGCCTGGCACGCCTGTGCTCGACCGCACCACGCCGTCGTTTCCGGGCTCGCCGAACAAGCCGACGAGCCCGGGCAGTCCGTTGGCGCGCCCAGCGATGCTGCTCGACCTGCAGAGCCTAGCGCCACCTTCGTTCCCGCGCCTGGCGCGCAAGGGGGGCGCGGGGAGCTCGCCGGCGGCGTCGCCGGGCATGGACACGAGCACCGACTCGGAGCTGGGTGTGGACGAGGGCATGTCGTGCTCGGTGTCGTCGCTGACCTCATCGGCGCCGCTGTCGCCGGGACGGGTGCGCCGCCGCTTGGTGGGCATGACGCCGTCCGAGGGCACCGAGACCGTGCCCGGCTCGGTCGCCGACGAGTTCGAAGAGTCCGGTCGCGGCGACTACCTGTCCAAGGGCAAGGATCATCCGCTCTACGGTCTGGCCGCCAAGGATTTCAAGCGCGCTACGCTCAACTTGGCGGCGGGAGAGCAGCAGGAGGTGCTCAACGATGATGACGAGGGCGATGTGACGCTGCGTGCGGTCGGGTCGCCAGCTAGGTCCGAGCTTGCAATGAGTCCGGCGCAGAAGCGCTCGCGGCTGCTGTCGAACGAGTACTTTGCCGCGCATGTCGAGACGAGAAGGCAGCGCAGTGAAGGATCCACGCGCGGAGGTGCCAAGGCGCCCGAGCTGGACAGCAAGATGCGCCGGCTGTCGTCGGCGCTGTATGCCGAGATGGAGCGGCGGCAGCGGTCGTCTGGGATTTCGCCGCGATCGCCGCCTGCTGCGCTGCCCAAGGTGGCGAGGGTGGATGCGGGCGGGAATTTGGTGGCGCTGTTGGCGGATGCGCTGGCCGAGTCGCTGCCGTATATGCCGGACGAGGTGCAGGTGAAAGAGCAGGCACGCCGCGTGAGTGCCATGCTTCTCGCCGGATCGGATGCTTTGGCTCTCAGTCTGGCACCCGGGGCCAGGGAGAGTCTCGGACTGCAGCTCGATGGGCTTAGCACGCCGAGTGAGCGATCGGAACCGCCGACGCCGCGCGATTCGGCCATAGACAGCATGCACAGCACGCGCAGCTCGGTGCGCCAACCAGGCACCGGCAGGTATGCTGATCTCGGCATCCGCACCGGCGGGGAGAGAAGCAGAAAGGTATCGGTCTCCAAAGACGCACGTGCGATATCGGTATCAAGGTCAACGGCACAGGTACGCACCACTACGCACAGCGTCGTTTCAGTCCATTCCATCTCCCCGCCCGCCTCGGTGTCTACGGCAGCTACATCGCTATCCACCGCCTCGGGCTCGGCCGTTGCAGTCGATGCACTGCGCGCATTCGAACGTCCCCCCTCCAGCGGCGGTGCCTACACCCTGCTCTCCACCCTCGCTTACTATACACCGTACGCCTTCAAACCTGCTCCTGCCCAACCACAGCCCGTGGTGCGCCCAAGGATCCCGGCCCACCACTCCGTGGGAAGAAGACGCACGCGGGCAAATTACAGCCTCGACTCCAACTCCAAACTCGCCCCCTTCCCCGGAAGCGCCCGCCTCGCCCTCCCGCCCCCCC